AAAGCTGTCAGGTAAAAAAGGAGCCATGAAATCATGGGAAATATCATGGCCCACGCCATGATATCCACCCTCCCCCTAGTCTTAGGTCGGACATGTCCCCCTACAGGCGGACTCTGGACGAAACATTGAAAATAGTCCAACAAGATTCAAGAATGGTCAAACGATTCTAGAAACATCGTCCCCAGACTATTTTTCACCATTCTTGAATATTCCTCCTCTAGAGGGACGTGCCCGACTTCACCCGTCATCACCCCCCGCTTTGCCGCCCTCGGAGAGTCCTCGATGTCCATCTGCCGCCTGACCAGCAGGCCCCGGTCGCGCCAGACCTGGTGGTACGGGACGGGCTCGCTCGCGGGCAGGCGCAGGAGCTCGCCCACGGGCAGGAACCAGAAGTGCATGCTCCTGGGCACGGACCGTGCCCCCTCGGGCGGGCACTCCGACTCCACCTCTAAGAACTCCAACAATACACCCCCAGAATAGCCACCCCGACACGCGGAGTCGTTTAGGAAACGCGCCCAAAGAAGGAATCAAACAGGGCAGGGCTGTTCAGTGAACGCCCAGGGCCGTTCAGTAAACGCCAGTTGTCCGGTCCAGGTGATTTTCCCTCCCTTGAACCTCGTTCCCAATCTCCGTCTCCTCTGCGCAGCTCCTCCCGGTCGTCGCGGAGGTGCTGCCAGGACGGGAAGCGGGCCCGCGCCTGCGCCTGCGTGCCACGATGCACGACGCCGCGCAGGACAGTCCACAGGCCACGCAGAGCGTGAAGATGATGCCGATGGTGACCATTGTTGAGGCTTCCCGCTCCTCCGCCGATGGCGAACCGCTCAAAGAGGCGGCCTGCTTGGCGATGCGGGAGCCGACGGGGTATCCATAGTACAATGGTGCGTCCAGCACGATGGATCCAAAGCTCGCGATGCCGCGTGCCTCCGAATTGCCGCCACCAGTGATCACCACGATGTCCCCTACAGAAAAACCCTCCTCAGACTCCACCACCAGCTCAAGTGCTCCCGCCAATACGGTGCTCACCAGCAGAGTCGTCGCGGCTGGTACGATCTCGGTGGCGGCCGCAGTGCTCGAAGCCGTGGGACTGGCGGTGACCGCCTGGGTGGTGGTGCTTGCCGTGGCGGAGGTCGTGCCCGTCTCGGTGGTGGCTGTGGCCGTCTGGGTGGTCGCGGTGGCCGTCTCGGTAGTGGCCGTCTTCGTGGTGGCCGTTTCGGTAGTCGCCGTCTCGGTGGTCGCCGTCTCGGTACTGGCCGTCTTGGTGGTGGCAGTCGCCTGGGTGGCCGCCGTGTCGCAAAGTATCACGCCAACCCTCATAGACATATGGGCATGCCATGTCTGAGGCTTGATGTGGACATAGCGAACTTCCCTTCCGGTCGAAAACAATCCAATCACCTTTGTGTTGCGATCGCTATTTCCCGCGAACGTGCTGTCGATGTCATCCCAGGACTGGCCATCCACCGAGCCTGCCACTGTGTAAGTGGTAACCCATTGCGCCAGATGGTACGAGTTCCTACCCTGGGTTACAACGCCAAGTACCAGTTGTGGACGTTCAAGATCAATCTGCATCCACTGTCCGATTGAGTTGGTTGAAGCAGACCAAGCTTGCGCAGAATCCAGCATGGACCTGGCGTGGCCAGTCCCCGCCGCGTCATAGAACAAGACGCTGCTGTAACTTCGGGAGGATTCTGCGGGATTCGAAATCTGCGTGCCGCAGGCCGTAGACGCGTGGGTAGTCGTGGACGTCGCAGAGATCATCGTGACCGAGGTTGTGCCTGTACTACTGCACATAGAAAGGTTCTTGTATCCCCACCACCACCCGTAGCATCCACAATTCAGTACGCAGTAAGGCCAACCCCAACCTCCCACTGTACCATCTGGCAAAATATTGTTGCCCCAATCACCGTCGACATAGCAGCCGTCACCTACATCCATGTTGAACGAGCAGGGTGGGACATCACAACTTGTCGACTGAGTCGTGCACACGCACTTGCTCTCCCAGGCCAAGCATGCCGTCTCGTCCAGCAGCGATCGTGGTGGGGCGTCGTCCAGCACCGCAGCCATGCTAGAGGTCTCAGCAGGCAGACTCCCAACCATGATGGACGCGATGGTCGTCGAAGGCGATGCAGAGAAGCTCGCCTGTGCCGGGCGGTCCGTCAGCGGCCCAGGAGAACCGCCTGCCGGCTCCCCCTCGCTCCCGCCGACTTGCTGCCCGCAGAGCGCGGAGCAGAACACCGCGCACGCGCGCCACGCCCCCGGCGACCCACCGCAGGTGCCGCACCCCACCGCGGAGCGAGTGCGGCGGGCACCCCGTCGGGGCCCCATCTGCAGCAAGACACACCCGGGTATGGCTGGCGGAGCTCGCGCACAGGAAGCCACGACCTCGCTGAACCCCTCGAGCCAACACGGCCGCGGCGTTCTGCGGGCGCCTCCTGGAGCGGGAGAAGGAAAGCATACGACGAGTGTTCCCACCGTGGGCGGCGCCTGTCCCAGGGCGGCTAGAAATCTCATGCCCGATCTTGGAGCGCTGTGGGACTGTCTTGGAATCCTTGTGGGCTGTGGGGGCCTCTTGGGCCGTCTTGGGGGCCCGTTCGGCCGTCTTACGGCAGTCCTGTCCCGTTGGACGCCGTTGGAGGCTGTCTTGGGAGCCTCTCTGACCCCGTCTTGGGGCCCTCCTGGGGCGCTTCAGGGTCGTCCTGGAGCCCTTCTTGGGCGTCTGGGAGGCCTCTTGGGCCGTCTTGGGGACCTGCTTACGTAGGGGGCAGTTTGGAGGCCTTCTGGGCAGTTCTAGATGTCAGAAAGAGCGTGCGTTATACACGAGATCGTTGGGTCTGCTCTGCCCTGGCAAGAGGCCGTTACCAAGGGGGGCGTTGGAGCCCAGGGTCACAAAAACGCTTGGGTCAGGTCAGGCGTGTCCCTCTATCGGCGGATCTTGCGCGAAGATTTGAACATAGCCAATATCTACAACCCAGAAATGTCAAACATGGTAGAAAAATCGTCCCCAGGCTAATTGTTTACGATTTTTTGATAATCCTCCCTCCTCCCTCCTCCCTCCTCCCTCCTCCCTCCTCCCTCCTCCCACCTCCCTCCTCCCTCCTCCATCCTCCCTCCTCCCTCCTCCCTCCTATTATATTCCTCCCGTAGATCGGTGGCGAGACCAGGGGGGAAATGGGAAGCAGGAGGCCTTCTCCGAGGGCTCGGACATCCCACGGCCTTCTATAAGAAGTTGTCTACTCCAGATTTCGTAATAAAGGGAGGAGGGTCTGATTTCGGAGGGGGTCTCTTCCAGGCTATCTTGGAGGGCCTGGGGGGTCTGGGGACGATGTTTTGGAGGGTTCTCCCACGGGGGAGGTCTGAAATGGCTTGTCTTGGAGGGTCCAGACCCCCTCCCTTTTCTTACGAAATCTGGAGTATACGCCTTCCCCGAAGGCGCGGAAAAAGCTCCCCAGGAGGCAGGAGGGCTCAGGAGAAGCCCCGCGGCCTTCTGAGCCGGCCTTCTCCTTCTCCCTTTCCCCCCCTTACCCGCCGCCGAGGGGAGGGATAGGCCCGACTGCACGCTTGGGTTGTGTTGCCCCCATCGCACTCAAGGACCACATCCCAGAAATAATTTCGAGCACCCGGAAGCGTCAAAAGAGTGTCGAAAGAGTGCCGAAACAGCGTCGGACGAGTGTCTCCCAGGGTCCGACACGTGAAAACCTATGAGTTTGGGGGTACTTTCTTGGTGCTCGAAATTATTTCTGGTGACTCAGGCTAAAGTAGGTTGGAACATCATAACGCTTGGGTGGGGTGGCGCCCCTCTGGGTGGGGGCGCGCTGCGACAGCCACACAGCATGCGCGAAGGGCAAACGGCACGCCGAGGGAAGGGCCAAGCCCTCCCATCCCCGCTCCCGCGCACGATCCCTGCTGTTGCGACCGTTACGCGCCGAAGGGTGCAAGTAAAGACAATCTCGACCCTCCTCCTAGAGTCCTCAAGGGCAGAACATCCACCCCCATAAAAGCCACCCCGACACGCGAGGCCGTTTGGAAACCGCGCCCAAAGAAGGAATCGAACAGGGCAGGGCTGTTTCGTAAACGCCCAGGGCCGTTCAGTACACGCCAATTGTCCGGTCCGGGTGTGTTTCTCCTCCCTTCCTGCTACCCGCCAGGGGGGAAAGAGTTAGCCCGGGTAGCGACCGTTGCGCGCGCGCCGAGGGGTGCAAAGACAATCTCTACCCTCGTCCGTGTAAGCGTTTTTTATTATTATTATTCGGCGTTTCGACATTGGGCGGAAGGGGGGGGGAGGGGGGGGGTCTGCCTCTGGGCCTCTGCTTATAGTGGGACTGTTTGCAGCAGTGGGTCCTTTGAAGGGAGACTCCACCTGCCCGAAACAGGCGCCAAAAACAGCCAAGATCCACTCCATGGGGGGGGAGAGGGGGTTGCGAGGGCCCGCGCCGATCGACAGAATAATGAATAGAAAACCGCTCACCAACAGGCGACCGCCGACGATACAGTAGGGGCTCGACCACCAGAAACCTCCCACAAGAAAACTAACCCCATGAGACCCCAGGACGTCCATGGACTTCTTGGCGTGGGAGCGTCGCGCTCTCCATGGCAGAGCCATCGAAACCCAAGAAAAACCCAAGGCACCCTGGAGACAAGCAGGGTGCTTCTGTCTGGGCGTGGCTCCCCACTGTACACTACGTCGACGATATATAAATAAAAAACAAGATCAAAAAAACAAAAAAAAAAAAAAAAAAAAAAAAAAAACGCCGGCGTCTTGACACGACAACAACAGCAGCCGGTCCGCCCTTCGGACGAGGTCCCATCGCAGCGGGGCGACGCACATGCGGGCGGCTCCCGCGCTCGTGTGGCGGGCTCCAGATGCCCTTGGCCCAAGCGTGCTGTCGCCTCTTGGAGAGCGCATCTTTTCCTTCCGCCAACTTCCGCCTGCCATCTGCCGGTTTCCGCCGGCAGGGGCGCCCTCGTTCGACTTCTGCCGGCGTTCCGCTGGGCTTCCGCCGGGAGGGAGATGTCAGCCCGTGCGATCCCTCGAAGGCGAAGGCCTTCCAGGAAGGCCTCCTTTCTTGGTCCTTTCTTCTCTGTGCCCTGGCGATGGTGGCTACTGCTGCTCTGCAAGATACTCCTGGGCGCCACCTGGTGCAAGCTCAGCGTGGTATGCAGGGTCCTGAACACCCGGTCGCAGGGATGACGACGGTCATGATGATGGTGATGGCGATCATTTGCGTCGCTGTGTCGGCCCCTTCTTTCCTTTGCTTCGGCCCTTTGCTTCCGTCGGCATCAAAGGCAAACCGCGGGACGAGAATGCGGATCGCGCCGCGCCTGCCAGACCAGATCCAGCCCTTGCCCTTGCCCATCCCGAGACCGGTGGTCGCCCACTGCCCGTCCTGGGTGGGAGGTGAAGAAGGAGCAGAGCAGAGAAAAAAAACATACCTCCACTGTCTTGAAAGTGTCAAGCTGGAGCTTCTTCGCAGTGTTCGGCCTCTGGGGGGCGTCTTCTGGCCCCTGGGCCAAACGAAAACACTCCGGGACCAAAGAAAAAAACAGCCCCTAGCAAGGGGGGGCGAGAATTCTGGGGCCCACGCACGGGAACAATCAGGACAGCGGAAGTCGGGGGAAGAAGAGGAGGAGGAGGCGGAGGAGGCGGAGGAGGAGGGAGGAGGAGGAACAGGTGGAGGAAGAGGAGGAGGAGAAGGAGGAGCAGCTGAAGCCCTTCTTCCTCCTCCTCCTCGCCTTTCCTCCTCCTCCTCCTCCTCCTCCTCCTCATCCTCATCCTTCTCCTCCTCCGTCTCCTCATCCGTCTCCTCCTCCTCCTCCTCCTCCTCCTCCTTCTCCTCCTCCTCTTTCTCATCCACACCTTTCCCAAACACATACTCCTCCCTGTGTCGCATCCCTGACGTGTTGGTAGGGCGAAACGGGCGTTTCGCCCGAGACACCCTCAAACTATATGGCCCTGATGATCGAAATGTGCAACAGCCATTCGCGTTACAAGTGTACAACGTGCTTAGAGATTCGTGTAGTCGATATCACAGGAATAGTGCTCTGGCACGATTTAAGAGTCGGGCAACAAAAGTCAGGTTGAATCGCGGTGCTGTGATGTCCCAAGAACGGCGTCCTGGCACGATTGATGGGCCGTCAGAACGCATGACAGTCGAATTGATTGACGGCGCTGAAATACAGTAATTGCGTCTTGGCACGGTTGAAGATACTCAGGCAATTGTCTTCCAACGGGGCACTTCCCGCACTGAACATCGAGCCGTGTAGCGGCCTATAAGAGGGGAGCTTGGAGGGAGGGTTTATTGCAACATATCTGACGCGTCCTTGGTTGACTCTCGTCCTCCTCCTACCCCTCCTCGCTCTGAGGCCTCATCCCCTTCACCTCCGCTGTGAGGAGCAGCCGAAAGTAAGAAGCAGGAGGAGAGTAGGCTCTGGGAGCTTGAAAAGGTTTTGATGCGAATATCACTAAATGTCCACCAAATTCTCAAGAATAGTCCCATGGGGGGTTCTGGCGAGGGACGAGGAGGAGGAGGAGGAAGAGGAGGAGGAGGAGGAGGAGGAGGAGGAGGAGAAGTAGAAGCCTGAGAAGGAGGAGAAAGAGAAGGGTGTCAAGCGTGCCCAAGGGGGTTCAGGAGGAGGAGGAGGAGGAGGGAGAAGAGGACGAGGGGAGAAATGAGGAGACAAGCTAGGTGCGCTCGCGCCAAATCTGGCATCCCATCCCTCCCACCCATACCTTTCAATTGCGCTGAAGTTTGTACATCCATCCGCCGACTGGTGCCACAGCGAACCCGAAACCCCGAAAAGGACCCCGTCGTGTGATGCACAAGTCGAATCAAAGGAGCCGAGTACAGCGGAGGAGGGAGGGGAGGAGGAGGAGGAGCAGGAAGATGAGCAGGAGAAAACGGACGAGGACGAGAAAGGGGAGGACGAAACGGAACGGAACAGCAGCAGCAGCAGGACGGGAGGAGCACGAGGAGCAGTGCAGGGCGGAGGAAAATAAAGGAGCGGAGCGACAACGACGAGGAGGAAAATTCGGGTCCAGAATTGGCGGCCCGCGCTGCGGCGAGATCGCAGGTTCTGAACGCCAGGGCCACGGCGCCGATGCGCAAACGGGGCCAGCCTCGCTGCGGGAGCGCCACGTCGAAACACAGATACAGTCGGGGCGTTGACGTAAGGAACCCTAAATAAGGAACGGGGCCCCTTTGTCCCATAATTTAAATTTCGATTTCCGATCGAAAACCTAAGGAAAACCTGAGGCAAGCTGCGAAACACTTAAGGAACACGGAGCCCCTCCCCAACGAAAAGGGCTCCTTCTTCAGGGCCCCGACTGCACCGCTAAAACGAAAGCAAAAACAACAACCAAGCTCGCATCAAAGACAACCTTTGCAAATTCTACGCGCTACTGAACAACACGTGGGAGAATAGCGGCCCCGCTCGGACGAGGTCCCGAGCGCGGAGAGTAGTACTCATATTGAGCAGTTCTGGGGGGGGGAGGAGAAAGATGAGGGGGAGAAGGGGGGAGGAAGAGGATGATGATGATGAGGAGGAGGAGGAGGAAGAGGTGGAAGAGGGGGAGGATGGGGGAGAAGGAGAAGGAGGAGGAGAGGAGGAGGAGGAGGGTGGACGAGGAGGAGGAGGAGGAGGAGGAGGAGGAGAGGAGGAGGAGGAAAGGCGAGAGGAGAAGAGGTGGAGGAGGAGGAGGAGGAGGAGGATGAGGAGGAAGAGGAAGAGGAGGAGGAGGGGAGGAGGAGGAGGAGGAGGAGGAGGAGGAGGAGTAGAAGGAGTAGAGGAGGAGGAGGAGGAGGAGGAGGAGGAGGAGGAGGAGGAAGGAGGAGGAGGAGGAGGAGGAGAGAGGAGGAGGAGGAGGAGGAGGAGGAGGAGGAGGAGGGAGGAGGAGGAGGAGGAGGAAGGAGGAGGAGGAGGGGGGGAGAGGAGGAAAAAGGGCGAGGAAGAGGGCAAGAAGGGGCCTGGTTGGCGCACTCGATCGAGGGTGCCGAGAAGAGGCGGCGCAGCACGCAGCGCAGCGCCTCCGGGGTCTGGGGCAGCCCGCCCTGCTCCGCCACCTGCGCCGGGGCGGCCTCGAGGAAGTCCGCCAGCCCCAGGGAGCGCCCCAAGCAGTGCTTTCCGTTTTCATTGTGTCTTCGTTTTCCCTCCTTTTCGTTTCCCCTCGATTGCCCTCGTTGTTCGTTCTCGTTGTGTTCTGGTTTCCCCTCGTTGTGTCTTCCGCCCGCCTCTGATGCAGAGCGACATCGGAACGAAGACGGCCCACGAGATCGCCAAGCCACAGTTGAGGTCGACCCCTGGCCAGCCCCAGGAGGAGGAGGAGGAGGAGGAGGAGGAGGAGGAGGAGGAGGAGGAGGAGGAGGAGAGGCGATGATGATGATGATGATGATGATGATGAATGATGATGATGACGATGATGATGATGATGATGATGATGATGAGGAGAGGAGGAGGAGGAGGAGGAGGAGGAGGAGGAAGAGGAGGAGGAGGAGGAGGAGGAGGGGGAGAAGGAGGAGGAGGCCCACCCCGCGAGCGGCCGGGCGCGGAAGAGCCCCCGCCTCCCCGGAGATCCTGGCGTGGCCATCTTGTGCACCGCGGGCGTCTTTGCCCAGCTTCTAGTCCCTGGGGCCCTCACAGAGCGATCGGGCTCGCGGCATGGCGCCCAGAGATGGAGTCGGGGACTCTGGTCGTGATGTTCTGCGATGCTGACTGCTTCGGCAGCGTCAAATCGCAGGCTCCGCTCGGAGTGAAGACGTCGAGAGACGTCCTCTCGAGCGGCGGGGACCGAGGCTGGGGTTCGGGAGCTGCGCCTCCTGGGGCGCCCTCGCCACCACGGCTCCCTTCCCCTCGGGGCCCTGGCCAGCGCGGGCCCCGGCACTGGCTCAGGGATCGGCCCTTCGACCTCGGAGCCCCCGCCTCTCTCCTCCCCTTGACAAGAAGAACAAAAAAAAAAAAAAAAAAAAAACGGCTCGAATCCCCTCGGGGCCCTGGCCAGCGCGGGCCTCGGCACTGGCTCAGGGATCGGCCCTTGACCTCGGAGCCCCCGCCTCTCTCCTCCCTGTGGCCAAGAAAAAACCACGGCGGGGTGCCCTGGTCCATCCCTCAGCTTCCGGGGGGGGGGGCCCCGCCAGGCCCCCCGGGGCCGTCAGAACACGCCTCGGGATGAGAAAGAGAACGCGGCCCCAGGGAGGGGGCCTACGTTTGGGTCGGGCGCGTCCCCCTGCAGGCGGATGTCGGACGCGGAATGAAACATGATCGGTGAATGCCCTCAGCATGCTAGGAACCAGTCAGAACATCGTCCCCCGACTATTCTGGGACTAGTCTTGCACACTCCCTCTGCGGAGGGACGGGCCCGACTGTAAGTCTGCGTGGACCTCTGGTGGTCCGCGCTGTGCAGAGGTAAACGGCGCTGGAGAGCTGGAAGGCGCGCTCGAGCCCTCTGCCCCGGGCCCTGGCACGGCCCGCCTGCTTTCTCGGCCGGCGTCCCCTTCTCCCCTCCTCCCGCCTCGTCCTCTCGCCGCGCCTCCCCCCGTCCCCCGCCGCTCTTGGAAAAGACGACTGGACGGTTCCGTTTGAGCGTGGTCGGTCTTTCGCGAGAGGCCGACGGAAAACTGGCAGACAAGCCTTCTGTGCAAGCCCCGCGGGGCCCCTACCAAACCCCAAGGACTGTCACAAAACGACGCGAGATGAGACGCCGGTCCCAGGGAAGGGGTCCAGACATCGGGGGGTCCACGTCGTGAAGAACAGAACAGCGGCGGTGGACAAACCCCCCTTTAGTAAACCACCCTTTCGTGAAAACGGTCCAGGACCGAAACCGACGGACCTGGACCCGCTAGAATGACCGCCGCGACGCCCTCTCGCGAACCGAGAACGGCCAATTCGCTGTAGTCGACGTGTCAGGGTAGGAACTCGATCCACCTCCGAGAACATGGGGGATCCGGAGCCCTCGTCCCCTTCGCCCCTTCTGGAGGTGCGTGCAGGCTTCTTGGCTCGGCGCCGGGCCTCCCGGGCGGCGCCTCTGGCGCCGCCCATGGCGCGCTTCGCGCGCCAGGGAGGGGGGGGTCGAGCGCCAGTCCTAGAAACTCGAGAGGACTTCCGAAAATGTTTGTGTTTGTGCCGCTGCTCTTTCTTCGGTGCACACCATCATCCCAGATCCTAGGGCCGAGAATGGCCCTGGCCAGGCACGCTGGTGTTGCACGGATGCCCTTCCGCGGATGTCCTCCTCATCCTCATATTGCTCCTCCTCGTCCTCGTCCTCCTCCTCCTCCTCCTCCTCCTCCTCCTCCTCCTCCGCCTCCTCCTCGGTCTCGTCCTCTGCAGTCGGGATCTTGCTGTTAGAGAGCCTTGGGCCAGGGGTGGCGCCCCTCGCTGTCCCAAGTCCTGGCTGGCGGGCTCTGCGCTGGGGCCCACTGGAAAGTATGGTGAGTCTCGAGCCCCTTCCGAATCAAACACCCTCCTTGATTCGACGCTCCTGGGGGCACATACGAATACCGTAACCGCCTACATAAGAAGAAGGCGAGATGAGGATAAATTCGGATTATGATTAAGATCGGGAATGTCTGAAGATGTATCGGGCGCCGCGCCCGTGTCAGAGCGCTCAAAAACTCTCATGAGAGTGTTCTGGAACGCTCTGGAGCGATGCATCCTTTTCCTGGCGAAAACTAGGGAAGGACCGTTTTTTTCTTTTCTGGGTAACGGTCGCTACCCAGCGAGAGGTGGGGGGTCGGGCGAGAGGGTAACAGTAACGGCGGCCGCGGCATGCACCCACCAGGGTGCGCCCGCGCCACCGGCGCATCCATCGCATGTGCGCACCACAGCATATAGGGAGCGCCCAGGCCACCCCCCCAGCACTTCGATCGCTGGCGTTACCCGGGGGAGGGGGAGAGGGGGGGGGGGGCGGGTAACGGGCGCTACCCTGGGAAGGGGGGAACAAAAAAAGGCTCGCGGTGAAGGGCGAGAACGCCGTGCAGCGGAGGCCAGTCCACAAGAACCCTTCCACAAGAAACCCAACCCTGAGACCCCAGGGCGTCCATAGAATTCTCTGGCGTGGGAACGTCACGCCGTCCCGTGGCAAAACCATCGAAACCCAAGGAACCCAAGGCACCCTGAGGCAAGCAGGGTGCTTCTTGGCATGGGCCACCACGGTAGCCTCGACAGGGACGCTCACGTTGGGGGGTGAGAACGCCGTAACCTCCCCCTCCTCCTCCTCCTCCTCCTCCTCCTCCTCCTCCTCCTCCTCCTCCTCCTCCTCCTCCTCCTCCTCCTCTCTCTTCCTCCTCCCTCCTCGTCCTCCTCCTGTCCTCCTCCTCCTCCTCCTCCTCCTCCTCCTCCTCCCCTCCTCCTCTCCTCATCCTCATCCTCATCCTCATCCTCATCCTCATCCTTCTTCTCCTCCTCCTCCTCCTCCTCCTCCTCCTCCTTCTCCTCCTCCTCGTCCTCGTCCTCCTCCTCCTCCTACTCCTCCTCTTCCGCCTCCTCCTCCGCCTCCTCCTCCTCCCTCAACAGAGAAACTGGTGCGGTCTCGGCTCGTGTCGCGCGCGCGCGGGCGAGGCGAGGCAGCGAGAAGCCGACCAAGGGCAGGGCCAGGTCGGGCAAAAGCACGTTCCCCCGCGCTTCGTCGCGGGGGGGCCTGCAGGCCTGTCCCGTGGCCTGCCCCCGTGGCTGTTCCGTCAGTTGCCTCCTCCTCCTCCTCCTCCTCCCCTCCTCCTCCCCTCCTCCTCCCTCCTCCTCCTCTTCCTCCTCCCTCCCCCTCCTCCCTCCTCCCTCCCTCCTCCCTCCTCCCTCCTCTCCTCCCTCCCCCCCTCCTCCTCCTCCTCCTCCTCCCCTCCTCCTCCCTCCTCCCTCCTCTCTCCTCCTCCTCCTCCTCCTCCTCCTCCTCCTCCTCCTCCTCCTCCTCCTCCTCCTCCTCCTCCTCCTCCTCCTCGTCCTCCTCCTCCTCTTTTTTGGCTCAAGCGTTCGCACGGCCGCGCCTCCTTCCTCCTCGCGGGTCCGAGGGATGGCGCAGCCTAGAGGGGCTTGCGCGCCGCCACCCGCCGCCGCCGCCCTGGTGGAGGCGGCCGTGCGCGGCGCCGTGCTGGGCGGAGCGCCGAGGCGCACTGGAGCGAGGGAGGCCAGCGTTGCTTTTGGAATCGGAGGTGCATCGCCGACAGATAGGCGACGGGCCTCGACAACGGCGAGGAATGTGGGCGAGTTGGGAGCCGGAGTTCTCCGGCAGCGGAATCGCACGAAGCTTCGCTCGCTCGGCCAGCATCGGCCCGAACGCCACGGAAGCGATGCGTAGGGACCCCTCCTGCGCACGAAGAGGATCAAGAGGCGAGAGGGGGGGCGGAGGAGCAGCTGAATGCCCTGGCACGTGACAGCGAGCAGTGCGTCGTTCAAAGGAGTGGGCGACTGGGAGTCGATGGTTCCCTCCCCCCCAGACCAGCTCCCCCCGTCGCTGCCCGCTTGCGTTCAAGTCATGGCTCGGCTCTCCAGCGGACGTCTGGGGCGATCCGATCGCCGAAGCGCAGCTGCTGCAACAAAAAACCTGGGATTGTAACAGAGCCCAGAAACAAAACAACATCCAAACATCTCGAACCTCTACTCTCGATGTGTCTGTACAATGATGCTTATGAGCGTGCTGCCTAGGCTCATGCGCATGCGTGCACACGTGTAGAAAGATCAGTCGGCGCAAACATGAGAACACGAGCACAGATGTGTGCTGAACCTCGGACCTCGATCCTCGAACCCCGACCCGCCCCCCCCCCCCCCAAAAAAAAAACAGAAACGCCCGAGCGGGGACTGGCGGTGGCCGCCCCGAGGCGCGCAGCATCGACGTAGCCGCGCAGGAGCTCCTCGAAGCAGGAGGCCTGGCGCGCCAAGGGCCCGCCCTGCCCGGCGTGGCCCGGCGCGCGCGAGCTCCAGACCTCGCCGCAGGCGGGCGCGGGCCGCCCTCCGCACCCCAGGCACAGCCACGGCCCGGGGGAGTACAAGGCAGCACGAGCAGCAGGGGCTCCAGGACGGGACGCACAGAGGCGTACTCCAGATTTCGTAATAAAAGGGAGGGGGTCTCATTTCGGGGGGGTCTCTTCCAGGCTATCTTGGAGGGCCTGGGGGGGTCTGGGGACGATGTTTTGGAGGGTTCTCCCACGGGGGGGGGTCTAAAACTTCTCGTCTGGGAGGGTTGAGACCCCCTCCCTTTTATTACGAAATCTGGAGTACTGGTACTGTATAGATCAGAGGAGAGAGAACTGTGCACCTGCACCGATGCTGGCCAGGCCCGTCCTGAGCCCAGGATCGGTGCGCACGCCCTCCGACCTTGGCCAGGAAGGTACATGCACCGATCCCTGGGTCAAGGATGGACCTTGCCAGGATCGGTGCATGTGCATAGTTCTCTTCGCCCGATATACGTCCTCCTTGGAGGCGCGCGCGTCCGACGCGAACGTATAGTATACCCATATTGTAGTATATCGTTTCCCGAGCGGCGTGGCCAGAGAGCGCCCGCCGGGACGCATATACTACAAGACTTATCGGTGCGCGCGTCGCCCCTGGGGGGCGACGCACATATAGTAACAATATAAGTATGTTGGGGTGACGCCGACAATTGAGCAGGGACCGACCGTCTCGACATTCCTATAGTCCTACCACGAAATGTTCTTAGAACCCAGAAATGTTCTAACAACAAAACCAATGTTCTTAGAACATAAACCCGATGTGATAAAACAAGACAGACTCCGCCAGAAATGGTCTAAGAACATGTCGTGGAAAACCACAAAAGGCTATTAGAACCTTGTTCGGTAGGGCTATAGGCGAGCCAGGACGCTTCGCCACTGCTTGAGACAGGAGGTCTGCGCGGACCTCTCGGCGTACAGCGCTGGCGCCCCCGCCGGCGCGCCCCGCGCGCCAGGGAGGAGTCGCGCCCCGCGCCGACCTACGAGATCTGCGCGGACCCCCCACAGCTCAACTCTCTGTGCCGACTTTTTGGACGCCCGAGATGGGTACGGAAAAATGGGTACAATGCCCAACAACAAATGTTGTCCCAAACCAACAGCGGCCGCTGTTGGGCAGGCGGCCTTCTGTCTCAAATGGACACAGTCCACGGCGGCGCGGACAGTGAATCCTGTTCAAAATGAACAGGAACTGCTGTTGAGCATTGTACCCATTCGTTCCGTGCCCATCTCGTTCGTGCAGAGACTTGTTCTCTCCTCGGATGGTGTTCGACTCTGGGCCGGCATGCCCCGATCGTTGGCCTGCTGAGCCGCCCCGACACGCAACACGCACCCCGCAGCGTGTTGACACGGAACTCGACACGGAGACCCGAAAACGCACGCTTGGCGACGCTCCCCCAACACGTGGGCCAGCACGTGCCGAGCCAGCACGCAGCGTGCTAGCGCGGACGTCTTGAACGCGGCACGCGTTGCTTTTCAAAAAAGGGCGCATCAGGGCAGCTAAGTTGACCTGGTGAGGCGCCGTGCTGGGGTGCGCCAGCGGCAGCAGCTGGATCTCGCGAGCCTGGGCCTCCCCGGCCGGCGCGCCTGCTGCGGGCCGCGGCGCAGCCGCGGAGCAGCCAGAGGCGTCGAGGACTCGCCGCGCAGCGACAGCTTCTCGCAGCGGCAGCAGGCGTGAGACCCAGTAGGCGGGCTGCTGCTGAGCGACGCTGGTGAACCACCAGCTTCCGTCCTCGTGCCCGTCGTGGCACCGCAGAGACTCGGCGTAATCCTCTGGCAGCTCTCCTCCCAGGGCGCGCTCCAGCCCTGCCAGCTCCCAGTCGGCCAGCCCAGGTCGCAGAGCAGCTGCAGCCTCTGGCACCCAGACTTTCAAGCAGGCCCGCGCACGCCCCCACAGATGTCGCACACGCCGTCTCAGAATCCGCAACCGTGCCGCTGGGCACGGAGTGGGGGCGTCCCGAGGTCCTTTGCCCAATCCCTGAGCCTGTCCTCAATCCTGAAGAGTTTTTCGGTGGCCCGGACCCAAAATGCTCAAATCTTCTAAGGCTTGGCGCGGGTCCACAGGGATCCGGGCAATCTTCTCGCATGATTTTTTCTGACCCAAGAGGGCCCCAAGACGGGCCAAGAGGGCCCCAAGAGGCCCCCGATACGGTCCAGAAGGGCCCCGAGACGCCTAAAGATCGCACCAAGACGCCCAAGATGGTCACAAGACGGCCCAAGAGGCCTCCGAGACACCCCAAGAGAGCCCCAAGAGCCTTCCCAAGAAGGCCCCGAGAGGCGAGAATCATGGATCATCGGTTCTCCGTTTTCCAATGGTTTTGGGGTGCTCGACTTTTCAAGACCCCGACGCCCCAAGACAGCCCAGGAGGCCTCCAGGAAGGCCTCAACACGGCCCAAGAGGGCCCCAAGACGACCCCAGAAGGCGCCCAAGACGACCTAAGAGGGCCCAAACACAGCCCCAGGAAGGGCCCAAGAGGGGGAACACGAACCGAAAGTCCGAGTCTTCCGCCCCGAAAGGCCCCCAGGAGGCCACAAGGAGGCCACAAGGAGGCCGCCAGATGCCCCCAAGAGGCCCCAAGAGACTCCCAAGATGCAATGAAGACGCCCCAAGAGGCCCCGAAACGGCTCTCAAGGGGCATCAAAACGGCCCCGAAGAGGCCCCCGAGAGGCCTCCAGCGACATCCTGACGAACACTCTCGAGGCCTATGGCCCACAACCCAGGCGCGGTGGCGGGATGGGCCGAAGGCCATTCGAGAAATACTTGGACGTATCGTTCCAGAAATTCAGTTCTGGCTGCACGGCCGCCGCAAAGAAGCGCGTGCGCAGAGCCTTGATAGCTGCTGGGGACAGAAGGGCTTCTGGCCGCTGTCGGTAAAGGCCGCATGCATATCTGATGTCTGAAACCTAGCCAGAGCTTCTCGGAAACCGCCAGCTCAAGTAAATCCCGAGATGCCGCTCCCAGCGTGCACAAGTCCTCTGGTGCCATTTGGCCCTGCTCGCCAGCAAGGCAGAACGCCTCAAACATCATCGCCCGTGTGAGTAAGAATGGAGGGACAGTACACGTTGACCATGACCAAGACTGAACGCGAAAAAATCGGTGTCGATCTTGGTCACCGTCTGCCTGGTCCCTAGGGCATCTTGGTCAGGGTCAGCGTCGTTCCTCCCTCCCAGAAAAAACCTCCGTGCGCCGATCCAGTGCGGGCAAGCCTTGTATCCATATCCACTGCGTCTTGGAGTTTCGGGCTCCCTTCCCCAGACACCAGAGGCTCACTGGATGTGGATAAAAAACTTACTCCTAGAGGCTAGACTTGTGTCCATACCCGGCCTTTTTCACTGCACCGACCTTGCAGACGTGCTGCAGCGGATATTCGCGTGGATTTCTGCCAATGCAAAACCCCACTCAACCTGAGATCTGATGCTGGAGAACAATGCAGCATCGCGAAGAGTTACGACAGGAGTCCCAGGCACCATCTTTCTGCGCCATTTCTCGAACCAGATCCACACGTGAGGACCCTGGGTGATGGGCCTGTTTTTCCGCCACCATAAGTTGGAGGGGGAGGGTGTCCTCCTCCAACTCCTCCTCCTCCTCCTCCTCTTCCTCCTCCTCCTCCTCCTCCTCCTCTTCCTCCTCCTCTTCCTCCTCCTCCTCCTCCTCTTTGTCCTCCTCCTCCTCGTCCTCCTCCTCCCCCCCTCCAACTTATGGTGGTGGTGGTGGTGGTGGAAAACATGCCCATCACTGGGGGCCCAAGCGAGGCGAAGACGCCCGCTGTGAAGAAAAGGCGTTGCCAGGATCGCAGGGCGGACATCGCAAACAAAAAAGTACAGGACCCGCCGCAGAAAGTCAGCCACGCGCAGAGGGGGGTGGGGGGAGGGGGGAGGGCTTCTTAGAAGCACCCCTGCTTCTTAGAAGGCGCGGGCCTCGTCTGTAGCTGCAATGCCGGCGCCTTCTAAGGAGCAGCCTCCTTCTAAGAAGCCATCCCCCCTCACTCCACCCCCTTGTGCGCGCCGCCAAGAAAGGGCCGCGAAACGCTGCAAGCTGTCAGTCCTCTCCACGGCGTCTGCGCAGCAGCGCTTGGTTGGAGTTCACTGCGTGAGCCGGAGAGGCTGCGAGGCGGTGCCGGAGGCGCCCAGGACGACAAGCACGGGGGCAGCAGCGCAGGCTGGGCAGGGCAGGCGAACCGTGGTGTGGTATCCAATGCCTGGGACAGCAGAGGGCGGGCGAGCAGGGGGGAAGGGGAGGGGAGGGGAGGGGAGGGGCAGGAGGGCCGTGAGAAGGGGTGGGGAGGGGAGGGGAGGGGAGGGGAGGGGAGGGGAGGGTCGCGAGAAGGGATGGGGGGACATGGGAGGGGGCGAAAAAAGGGGGAGGAATGGGAGGGCGGAGGGGGCGGGACAGGATGCAAAGCTTCTGCGTGTTCGGGCGTTCGGCTGGGGGGGTGACCAGGGGAACGCCCGAGGGCTGAGGGCGGCTGAGAACTGGGCGCCAAACGGGCAGCATGGATATCTGGTGTGTCTGGAGAGAGGGAGAGAGAGAGAGAGAGAACAAAAAAAAACCAAAGAGAGAGAGAGAGAGAAAGAGAGAGGAAGAGAGAGACACGGCAATCGATGTTGAATGTATCTGCAATCTGCCGGCACCGTCGTCCGCAGCCTCAGGCGAGGGTGACCATCCAGCACGCTGCGAGCGTCAATGGGCGATATGGTCCCCTGAGAATGACGCGACCGAGAAACGGCCACGCAGCAGACAAGCGACAAGCGAGCGGGTGAGAGAGAGAGAGAGGAATAGCATAGGATGGATCAGCTCTCGAGGAGGGGCGAGACAGAGAGAGAGCGAGAGAGAATCCTCCAATGATGTACTGCCGATCGTGGGGCCGAGCCTTGAGCAGCAGCGCTGCCACGCGGTTGTTATCGCACACCGGGAGGGGGGGTCAAGGATGAGAGAGTGGACTGTTGAGGGGAGGAAAGGGAGGGAGGGATGGGAGGGAGGGAGAGAGAGAGAGAGAGAGACAGAGAGAGAAAGAAAGAGAGAGAGAGAGAGAAGGAGAAAAAAAAGTGCTAAGCAGATATAGAAAGAGGGAAACAACAAACACCTAGCCTGGCGAAAGACCCAGTCATATGCAGTTGTGACTACCGTCGTTGTGAATACCGCCCTCGGTGGAGCTCCCTATGGGGCCACGGAGCGCGTAAGGGTGTGCCGAAATCGGGCGGGGCCGCCATGCGGGCGATGGTGACGGGGCCGTAGTCCGTATGGAACAACGAAGCGAGCGAGGGGTGTGTGCCGAAATCAATGGCGGAAACGCATATGGGCTGCGTTGCTGGGACAATCGGTGGGGCTCCCTATAGCCTATGGGACCACGCGGCGTGTGAGGGGTGTGTCCACATGTGGATGGGACGCATGCAGGCTGCGCCACTGGGGCGTTCGGAGGAGCCCCCACATGGGGCCACGAAACGTGCGAGGGGTGTGCCAAAATGGGTGGCTGGGACGCATGCGGGCTGCGCCACTGGGGCGTTTGGTGGAGCCCCCTATGGGGCCGCGAAACGTTTGAGTGGTGTGCCGATATGGGTGGGTGGGACGCATGCGAACTGCGCCACCGGGACCATCGGTGGAACTTCCAGTGGGGCGACGGAGCGTTTGAGGGGTGTGCCGACACGGGTGGCTGGGACGAATGCGAGCTGCGCCACTGGGGACTTCGGTAGGGTTCCCTCTGGGGCCACGAAACATGTGGGGGGAGGGGGAGGCAACATGGCGGCTTGGACGCGTGCGGGCGGCTCCACTGGGGCCTTCGGTTGGGCCCCTCATGGGGCAACGAGACGTGTGACGAATGCGCCGCCATGGGTGGCCGGAACGCATGCGGGCTGCGCCACTGGGGTCTTCGGTGGAGCTCCCATACTGAGCCACGAAGCGTGCAGGGGTGTGCCGACATGGGTGGCTGGGACGCATGCGGGCTGCGCCGCTGGGGCCTTCGGTGGAGCCCCTTTGTAAGGCCACGAAACGTGTCAGGGGTGTGCCGACATGGGCGGCTGGGACGCATGCGGGCTGCGCCACTGGGGCCTTCGGTAGAATCCCCATTGGGCTGCGAGACGTGTGAAGGGTGTGCCGACATGAACTGTTGGGACGGTTACGGGCTGCGCCACTGGGGCTTTCGGTGGGGCTCCCCATGGAGCAGCGAAGCGTGTGAGGAGTGCGACGCCGTGGGTGGCCTGGACGCATGCGGACTGCGCCACTGAAGCCTTCGGTGGAATTCCGTCTGGGGCCTCGAAACGTTTGAGGGATGCGCCACTGGGGCGTTCGGTGGAGCTCCCTATGGTGCGACGGAACGTGCGAGGGGTGTGCCAAAATGGGTGGCTGGGACGCATGCGGGCTGCGCCACTGGGGCCTTCGGTGGAGCCCCCTATGGGACCACAAAGCGTATAATGGCTGTGCCGATATGGGCGACTGGGGTGCATGCGGGCTGCGCCACCGGGGCCTTCGGTGGGGCTCCCTATTGGACCACGAAGCGTGTGAGGGGTGTGTGGAAATAGGTGGGTGGGACGCATGCGAATGGCGCCACTAGGGCCTTCGGTGGAACTCTGCCTTGCAGATGTGGGCGCCGCTGAAACTCCGTGCGGGACGTGTAGCAGATGTGGAAGGAGGGAGGACGAAAAATAGGAAAAGGAGGACAAGGCGGCCAAGGAGATGGGGCATCATGTGGGATCCAATATGGAGCAGGAAATCACCGGAGACGGATTTGCACTTTCTCCGACTCTGTACTGCTTCGAACGCAACAGCCGCAGACGTATCCACCCCAAATGTGTCGATGTACGTAACGACCCCCCAATGTGCGCATAGATGGCCCCCCAACGGTTGGAATCGAGCCCCCGCCGCGAGCTCCTCGATCCACCTCCGAAGAAGAGCACAAGAACTCAGAGCTCCAAGCACTCAGCTCCAGAACTTTGCGTTTCCGCCCTTTGTCCACACTGAAATCCAGAAGCTCGAATCACTAAACTCCAAACCTCAGCGTTGGAACCTCTCCTGGGGGAACGCAAAAGCAGCACGGGGAAAACAAAGAAGAGAAGGAGGATGTGTTGCATTGCCCGCGCGGTAAAAGCGTGCCCAACAGGGTAGAACATCATAAAAACCGCGGCGCTCAGCGACAGCGGGCCAACGTGCCCTGGCCAACGGTCAATTTGTCCAACAGCCAACATCCAAGGCGCTCGTGCAGAAAAGGGGTCACAGGCACAAGCTGGGACATGACCTCCAGCATCCCTTTCCCTGACAAGCTCCCACTCGCGCAAGGAATGCTGAGCCTTGAAAGAGAAAGCCAAAAAAAAAGGACCGCCATGCACCCCGCGTCAAAGTGGCACATAGGGGTTCAGGATCGGCATCCAAGGGAGAAAACACGGAGCGCTGCCCAGCACCCGCACCCGCACTAGCACTGCAACAGTACGCCCGCGGCAAAAAAAAACACTGCAACCGAAAGGTTACAGACAGGAAGCCGCGGGCCCCACCTCCGTGAAATTCAGCGGCGGTTCACCTCAGACCAGGAGGTGCCACTGGGGCCTCCCCGCGCCCAGGCCGCACCTCTTGGCCGAGGTGGCAGGGCGCTACCTGGCCTGACAGCTGCAACGGCGACAGCGGCGGCAGCAGGGGGCGGGGGGTGGGGGTGGGGAGGACCACTCTCTGGCCCAGGAGAACAAACAACGTCCACCCCGGAACTGGATCCAGGGACGTGCCGCAACTCCCTTAGAGGGTGGGGGTGACGGACACGACGACGAAGCGAGACACGAAGGACGACAACGAACGACACCGAACCTCCCAAGGGAAATGCTGCCCTCCGCCCGGTTCCTTATAGCACCCGCGAGCGGGCGGGATAAGGAGCCTGACATCATCGGGCCCACACCAAAATTCAGACGGCACCACACGGAACACAGGCTGCACCGCTTATTCACCCGAAGTGGCGAGGCATTTGTGAATTCCCTGGGCCTGACGGCAGAGGAGGAAGAGGAGGAAGAGGAGGAGGAGGAGGAGGAGGAGGAGGAGGAAGAGGAAGAGGAAGAGGAAGAGGAGGCCGAGGAAGCAGGCGGAGCAGAGGCAGAAGCGGCAGCACTGCACAAGAGCTCAAGCCACTAAGCTCCAGAGCTCAGCGCTTCCGTAGAATAAACAACATTTGCAGCGCAAACAGGAACTGTCTGAACTCCGCTCGGAGTTGCTTGCGTCGGAGCTAACGCCCCCGTCCCTGACGCGCGGAGCGCGCCAGGGGTGGCGCCAGAGACGCCGCCAGGGGGGGCCAGCGCCGATCCAAGGAATCCGCGCGGAGAGCCGAAAGTGCACGGTTTCCCCGGGGGCCGTAGTCGACCCGAGGAGGAGGAGGAGGAGGAGGAGGAGGAGGAGGAGGAGGAGGAGGAGGAGGGGGAGGAGGAGGAGGAGGGGGAGGAGGAGATGGAGGGAGGAGGAGGAGGAGCAGGAGAAGGAGGAGGAGGAGGAGGAGGAGGGCCCCACCTCTCCTCGCTCCTCGGGCAGGCTCGGCGGCACGCTCCCCCGGTGCCCCCGGGGCGTCCCCCCTGCGCTCCTGGGACCTGTAGGGCGACCTCAGCGACTCCTGCGCGGGCCCCGCCGCTCACCGCTCGCCGCCGCTCGCGGCCACTCGTCGCCGCGGCCATCATGAGTATCGCTTAAACGATCCCCATCCCCAGCGGCGTGGCCTGGGCCCCACTGGCCGATTTACCCCCCCTAGATGGGGAACTATAGGTCGTTCCCTTCGGGCTTCGAGGGGTGTATCCCCAACTGGGGTGGTCATGTGGTGGGGGTCTCGAAGGGGATGGGGATGGGATGGGGATGGGTTAAACGATACCCAGACATGCGACGTCCTGATTTCTTCAAGACTGCGTCCCCGGAAGTCCCGACCCTTTCCCTGGAGCCGCTTTGTCATCCTGAATCGTTATTTGACGGTCCCGGACACGGCGAGGGCCCCCATGGGCCGAACATAGCGAAACACCTTCGTTCTGATTGTTTTGCGACGCCATCATGTCTGGGTGCCGACATCAGTGCCGCCGCCCGCCGCCCGGTGGAACAGAGAGAGACGCCGAGCTAGCGCCACCACTTGCGCTCGCGAGCTTCGCTCTCAGCGTGTCGTGGCGGCGGCACTGGCGGCACGATGATGCCCTGCAGGCGGACGGCACGTCGCTCCGAGCTCCCTGGCGAGGAGGCTGGGCAACGCTCGGGGCGTTGACGCTCGGGGA